GAAGCTGAGACTGAATACAAATCAGATACCAACTCGGACAAAGAAAGCAACAGTGAAGATGCTCCACAAGCATCCCTCCACTCCCAGCCTAGCTCGCCCTTGCAATCTTTTAAACAGTCTTGAACAGGAAGGCTTCTCAAGCCTGTTTCAATATATTCTCCTTAGTCAAGTCAAAATAAATTAATTTTTTTTTAAGAAGGGGGAGGGGGGTGTTGTTATTTTTTTATTTAAAAAAAAATATATATATTTTTATACATGTAATTAATACATTGTTGTTGAAAAAAAAAGCAACTGGTGGAGTTATATGTCTATGTACATGTAAGACATAAGATGTGTTGGTAGAGGACATGAGTAGTACTGGACCTGGATTCCTAACGGTGGAATGGGTGACATGTACTTTCACCATTGGTTTTGCTTTAGGTGACTTGTCTACCCTGCCCATATGTGTCGTACTCTACTACAGCGCGCATAGTGTAGAATAGTTTTGTTAGGATTTGTACTCGTTAGGTCACTGGGGTGGCTGTTGTCCATTTGGCATACATGTATAACTCTGGGTAGTTTTTTTTTTTTCTCAGCATGTAAAATGTTCTATAAATACATCTATAAACTTGTAATTATATTCATATTTGATGGAAGATGAATTCCTCGACTTGTTTGCTGACATAGACGAAGTAAATGAGGTGCTACGACAGTGCGACACTGAGTTTATCAAAGTGAAGTTTGACCCAAAAGCCTTGGCCTGTCCTGTTATGGGATGTAATGGGATAATGTTTCCCACCAAGACCAAGTTTACCTGACACTGGGAGGAGAGACATAGGATACAAATGAGGAAGTTTTTGTGCCTGTTGGCTGGTTGTTTGACAGAGTGCCGATGCAAGTCTGACATGAGGACTCACCTGAGGACAAAGCATGAGAAGGATCCTCAGCGCCTGGAATCCATCCTACTGAAATGTCAGTCGCTGGTAAGGGAGAACAAGGGTTATATCGACCCAGGACTCTTAATATTCAAGTGTGCCTCAGTCACCAAGGCCACAAAGACTGTCCTCCCAACAGTGCAGGAGATCATAGAGATGGTTCTCGAGAGCGACAAGGACCAGGCACAGAGCTACAGGGACCAGACACACAGCGACAAGGACCAGGCACAGAGCAACAGGGACCAGGTGTCTACCAAGCAGCAGAGGATTTCCTCCTAGAGGAGTATTGAGGCAGAGACACTGCCAGGAAGGACAGTTCAGGGACCACCATGCCATTCCAGACCTCCTGGAGGGACTACCCCAGTCTGTGTCTCCCTTCCCTGCCAGACACCAGAGAGGAACTACAGGGCTGTCTGGCATGGATGAGCAACAGCATACACCAGCTTGGAAGAGCAAGAGAAATTGCGAAGAGGAGGCTCGCTGAACTGGATGGAGGTGAATTGCATAGAGAACGAGAGGCCAGGAGATTGCTGGAACAGAGAAACAGAGACCTGGAGAAGGAAATTCAGAGATTGAAGGAGAGAGATACCCTTTTTCCTAGAAGAATAAGACCGTATTATACTTCTTCGAAGGGGGGCATAAAAATAACAAAAAGGCTGTACCCGGTCACCAAGCTTAACCCATGTATAAAAGGGTTAAGGAAACGACTTATGAAATATTGGGATTACATACAAGATGACGAAGTATGCAAAGACTAATATTCACAACACCTCCTACGGTTGCATACAGTAAACACAAGAATATAGGTGATCTGATCATTAGATCCCAATTAAAATCAAATGAAGTTCAAAGAGATTGATTGATTTATGCATAAGGTCCTGACAAGGTGGGCCTTATTACAAATATGAAATAACATGTGCTATTAATACCACAGAAACACTTTTAATTAGTTTTAACATATAAGCAATTGACCAAATGCTTAATTAAGAGTGTCAGGTTCTAATAAGTCTAAGACTTGTCTGGATGCTGTCGTTTTTTTTTTTGCACAATATGTGCGCAAAATATCAAATCCATACGTCTTATAGTTATCAAGATATAGGGTAAGGCAGACGGATGGACATACAGACAGATGCATGGTGAAGTGATCCCCAAGTGTCACTCTTCTCTGCAGATGACACAAACATAGGTAATCAAAGATTACGAAGCTCAAGAAAATTTTGGTCAGTTCCAACATCCAAAGCAAGTCTGGAAGTTTTCATCCTTAGATGCACCATCTATGCAAGTTTAATCATAACAGGCCATAATATTATATAGCTACTCCAAAAAAATTACCCTGGTCACTCATCTGGAAAATGTACGTCAGATTCAGAATCCAAGGCAAGTCTGGAAGTGTCCATCCCTAGATACATCATCCATGCTAATTTGGTTAAAATATGGCTAAAATTCACTCATGTGGAAAATCTAGGTCAGATCCAGCATTCGAAGCAGGTTGGTTAGTGTACATCCCTAGATGCATCATCCATGAAAGTTTGGTCCAGGTAGGACTTATAGTTACTTGGGAACGAGACTACTCCTAAATCTAAACCTGGTCTCACATGTGGAAAATCTGGGTCAGATCCAGCATCCGAAGCAAGTGTGGTAGTGTCAATCCCTGGATGCATCATCCATGCAAGTTTGGTCAAGGTAGGGCTTATAGTTACTTGGGAATGGAGCTGCTCCTCAAACTTTAACCTGGTCACTCATCTGGAAAATCTAGGTCAGATCCAGCATCCAAAGCAAGTATGGTAGTGTCCATCCCTAGATGCATCATCCATGCAAGTTTGGTCCAGGTAGGGCTTATAGTTACTTAGGAATGAACCTGCTCCTAAAACTTTAACCTGGCCACTCATCCGGAAAATCTAAGTCAGATCCAGCATCCGAAGTAAGTGTGGCCATGTCCATCCCTAGATGCATCATCCATGCAAGTTTGGTCAAGGTAGGGCTTATAGTTACTTGGGAATGGACCTGCTCCTCAAACTTTAACCTGGTCACTCATCCGGAAAATCTAGGTCAGATCCAGCATCCGAAGTAAGTGTGGTAGTGTCCATCCTTAGATGCATCATCCATGCAAGTTTGGTCAAGGTAGGGCTTATAGTTACTTGGGAATGGACCTGCTCCTAAAACTTTAACCTGGTCACTCATCCGGAAAATCTAGGTCAGATCCAGCATCCGAAGCAAGTTTGGTAGTGTCCATCCTTAGATGCATCATCCATGCAAGTTTGGTCAAGGTAGGGCTTATAGTTACTTGGGAATGGACCTGTTCCTCAAACTTTAACCTGGTCACTCATCCGGAAAATCTAGGTCAGATCCAGCATCCGAAGCAAGTGTGGTAGTGTCCATCCTTAGATGCATCATCAATGCAAGTTTGGTCAAGATAGGGCTTATACTTTCTTGGGAATGGACCTGCTCCTAAAACTTTAACCTGGCCACTCATCTGGAAAATCTAGGTCAGATCCAGCATCTGAAGCAAGTTTGATAGTGTCCATCCCTATATGCATCATCCATGCAAGTTTGATCCAGGTAGGGCTTATAGTTACTTAGGAATGGACCTGCTCCTAAAACTTTAACCTGGTCACTCATCTGGAAAATCTAGGTCAGATCCAGCATCCGAAGCAAGTTTGGTAGTGTCCATCCCTAGATGCATCATCCATGCAAGTTTGGTCCAGGTAGGGCTTATAGTTAATTGGGAATGGGACTTGCTCCTAAAACTTTAACCTGGGACGCCGACGCTAACGCCGACACCGATGCCGACGCCGGGGGTATAGCATAAGCTCATCTCGACTTCGTCGAGGTGAGCTAAAAATTAACTCTGATAACTTTAAAATTTAATGCTCTTATGTTTTGTTGCAGTAAATTACATATCTATCAATGTATAAAGTCAAGATTGCCATTATCCCTCCCCCTTGTGCCTGGAACATCAGATTGATTTGATTATTTTCAGTATATTACCACATCGCTCACCTGAGTAACTTTGGCCATGCTGTTCTTTACCAGATTTCCCCACTTGTAATAACTCTTGCGGCCCCGCCATACCCTCGTGGGTCATGAGTTGAACAATTTAGAATCTACATTACCCCAGGATGCTTCCACATAAGTTCAGCTTTTCTGGCCCAGAGGTTATTGAGAAGAAAATTTTAAAAGATTTTTCCTATATATTTCAATGTAAAATTTGGATTCCCTATTGTGGTCCTGTCCTACCCCTGGGGGTCATGATTTGAAAAATTTAGAATCTACACTACACCAGGATGCTTCCATATAAGTTTCAGCTTTTCTGATCCAATGGTTCTTGAGAAAAAGATTTTTAAAGATTTTTCCTATATATTTCAATGTAAAACTTGGATTCCCTATTGTGGCCCCGCCCTACCCCCGGGGGTCATGATTTGAACAATTTAGAATCTACACTACCCCAGGATGATTCCACATAAGTTTCAGCTTTTCTGGCCCAGTGGTTCTTGAGAAGAAGATTTTTAAAGATTTTGCCAATATATTTCAATGTAAAACTTGGATTCCCTTTTGTGGTCCCGCCCTACCCCCGAGGGTCATGATTTTAACAATTTAGAATCTACACTATCCCAGGATGCTTCCACATAAGTTTCAGCTTTTCTGGCCCAGTGGTTCATAAGAAGAAGATTTTTTAATGACCCCACCCTATTTTTGTCTTTTCTTGATTATCTCCCCTTGTAAGGGGACTTGGCCCTTTATTTTAACAATTTAAACTCCCCTTCACCCAAGGGTACTTTGTACCAAGTTTGGTTAAAATTGGCCCTGTGGTTCTTGAGAAGAAGTTGAAAATGTGAAAAGTTTACAGACGGACGGACGGACGGACGACGGACAACGGGTGATCAGAAAAGCTCACTTTCAGCTCAGGTGAGCTAAAAAATGATGCTAACATAACATGACTTGAATCAAAGCCACTCCATTTTTTTATGTCATTAACAATAACATACTAATTTTTAAATATTTTTGAACTTCAAGACATAATATCAGTGAGATTATGACACTCATGGGCAACAATATACTAAAATTTGGCTAAAAACTGTTTCTTACTTTAATAGCAATGGACTGATGAACTGCATAACATCATAAATAAGTTTCAACAAGGCAGTCACCAAAGCAGCTGGTAGATATGCTGACACCAACGCCCTAAACAACTTTGCTGGAAGCTTGTTATGGCTCTCATTTGTGATATCCATATGATCTCCATCTTTTTGAATGGTACCCATTTCAACTGAAGACTGATCTTGAAGACAAGCTTTTCTTTTTGCTTTTCTGTCATTCAATGAAATGAAATGATTGTAAATCATACTGTCATGTGCAAAAATACATTCAATATATTAGACAGCTGATGAAAGACATATTTATTGGCCCCCTATAGCAGGCGGCCTCAAAAATAAGATGGGTCTCAGGCTCATAGAGCAGATTTTCACAGATATTCCTTTCTAAAACTTTTAACTTCAATTCTGATCCTATCCTAGCCCCTGGAACCATTATTTGAAAAACTAAGCTTGAAGATTGTGTTCTGCTGTTCTTGGGAAATATTTTGGGGTTTCTTTTGCATTTCTATGAGATACTTTATCCCCTGCAACAACATATTTTAACCTCCTTGCAAATTTTGTTGCAAGCGACATCCTGAGCAGAAGTGCACTATATGCATTGTTATACATGTACCTTAAAAAAATATTTTTTACATATAAATCTATACCAGAGGCCCAGGGGCCACATCGCTCACCTAAGCACTGTGGCTAGGAAAAAAGCAAAAATCAATTTAGTATTGAAAAGCTTAAATGCATAAGTGGTCCCAACCTACCCCTAAAAGGGATTGGGGGTATGATTCGAACAAAATTAGATCTACACTAACTCAGGATGCTTACATAATTTTTTGACTAACTGTGACTTTTTCCTCTACAAGTTTGAACTTTTATTGTGGCCCCACCCTACCCCTGGAGTTCATGATTTGAATAAACTTGAATCTACACTATCTGAGGATGCTTCCATATAAATATGACAAACCGTGGCTTTGCTGTTCTTGAGAAGATTTTTAAAGATTTTTCCTATATATTCCTATGTAAAACTTTGATCGTTTATTGTGGCCCTACCCTTACCCCAGGGGTTGTGATTTGAACAAACTTGAATCTACACCACCTGAGGATGCTTCCACATAAATATGACCGATCATAGCTTTGCTGTTCTTTAGAAGAAGATTTTTGAGGATTTTTCCTATATACTTAATGAAAACTTTGATCATCCATTGTGGCCCCACCCTACCCCCAGGGTCATGATTTGAACAAACTTGAATCTACACCACCTGAGGTTGCTTCCATATAAATATGACTAATCATGACTTTGCTGTTCTTGAGAAGAAGATTTTTTTCGATGATTTTTCCTATATACACCTATGTTAAACTTTGATTGTCCATTGTGGTCCCACCCTACCCCGGGGGGGGGGGGGGGGGGGGGGGAGGGTCATGATTTGAACAAACTTGAACCCACACCACCTGAGGACGCTTCAATATAAATATTACCAATCATTGATTTGCTGTCCTTGAGAAGAAGGTTTTTCCTAAATACACCTATGTTAAACTTTGATTGTCCATTGTGGCCCCACCCTACCCCTGGGGGTCATGATTTGAACAAACTTGAATCTACACCACCTGAGGATGCTTCCATATAAATATGACTAATCATGGCTTTGCTGTTCTTGAGAAGAAGATTTTTGAAGATTTTTCCTATATATTCCTATGTATAACTTTGATTGTCTATTGTGGCCCCACCCTACCCCCGGGGGTCATGATTTGAACAAACTTGAATCTACACTATCTGTCAAAAATTCCACATGAGTGTCATATTTCCTGGCCAATTGGTTCTTGAGAAGAAGATTTTTTAATAATGCCATTAATTTTTTGCTATTTCGTAATTATCTCCCCTTGGAGGAGGGCGTGGCCCTTCATTTGAATAAACTTGAATCCCCTTCACCCAAGGATACTTTGTGCCAAGTTTGATTGAAATTGGCCCAGTAGTTCTGGAGAAGAAGATGAAAATGTGAAAAGTTTACGACAACGCCAACAACAACAACGACGACAGACAACGACAGAAAAGCTAACTTGAGCCTTCGGCTCAGGTGAGCTAAAAAAGAAGTCTCAATTTATTTCTAAGCTGTCCAAAATCAAATCAATGTTGGACTGCTGGATGAGTTGTTGGACTAGTCAATGAGATATCAGCTTTTACGTCTCACTGTAGGCAAGATAAGCTTTAAATCTTATTTACATTCATTATACCCGCACTTTCTAAAGAAAGTTCGGGTATATTGTTGTTATTCATGTCTGTCCATCTGTCACAGCCTTCTTTCTCAAACTTCTCTTACATTTTACACAGTAGCCTAATCATCTTTTGGGAGATGTTTGGTGGTGTCATGTAGATGTGCAGTAAGGTTTCGGAATTTTCATTTTCACCCTGGGAGTCAAATGGGGGTCGAAAAATGACATTTTTTATGCAAAAAGCCCATGGTTCCCTGAACTCCTCTTACAATTTACACAAAAGCCTAATCATCTTTGGGGAGATGGTTGTTGGTGTCCTGTAGATGTGCAGTAAGGTTTTGGAATTTTTATTTTCCCCCTAGTGGTAAAATGGGGATCAAATTTTTTTTAAAAAATATTTAACATGTTTAAACACCTTGGTTCCCAGAACTTCCCTTATATTTTATGCACTAGCCTTAAATCATGATCAATTGGAAGATGATTGATTTTGTCTTATGGATGTGTAAAATGGTTTTAAAATTTGCATTTCCATGTGGATAGCAAACAGGGGCAGGAAAAAATGGCCCCTCCCTAACCCATGGGGTCATGATTTGTACAAACTTGAATCTACACTTCTTGGGAATGTTTCCATATTAATCATGCTTTTGTTGTTCTTAAAAAGAAGAATTTTGAAGATTTTTTTCCCTTTTATTCCTATATAAAACTTTGATCCCTTATTGTGGCCTGACCCTATCCTTGGGGGTCATGATTTGAAAACTAGAAATATGTCCATAGGACATTTAAATGCCCCGCCGAATGGATATTACTAATGCAACATGAAAATTTGTATGAGTGTATGAAGTTTGATGAGAATATCTTGAAGTTTCTTTAAAATTGAAACTAAAATCTACAAAAAATGGATATAGATAATAAATTCTCACCAAATTATGTATAAGTGCATGCTTACATAAAAATATCTTAGATTGTTTCTTTAAAACTAAGCAAAATACAAATTAAAGAGAAGGGAGGTCAAGGTCACAGGAAAGTGCAAGGTGAAAAGTTTTTGATGCAGTTGAATAGCTCTCACTAATACATATCAGCATATTAGGTTTGATAAAAATATCTTGAATGATTTATTTAAAACTGAGCTTAACACTTATTTGAGAAAAGAGAGGTCAAGGTCAAAGGAAAGGTTGAGGTCAAAATGTTGATGCAGTTGAAAAGCTTACATCAGTATGTATTTACTATTAGCATATGAAGTTTGATAAAAATATCATAAATGGTTTATTTAAAACTTAGATAAACACTAATTTAAAAAAGTGAGATCGAGGTCAAAGGAAAAGTCAAGGTCAAAAAAGTTGATGTAATTGATAGCTCTCATCAGTATATATCAGCATATGAAGTTTGATAAATATATCTTGAATTGTTTATTCAAAACTCATCTAGACACTAATTTAAGAAAAGTAAAGTCAAGGTCAAAGGAAAGGTCAAGATCAAAGAGGTTGATGCAGTTGAAAAGCTTACATCAGTATGTATCAGCATATCACGTTTGATTGAAGTCGGACATGACAAACACTATATGCCTTGACCATATTCATGGCAGGGCATAAAAAAACTTGAATCTACACTATATGAGGATGTTTCCATATCAAAATGACTAACAAGCAAATTCAAAGAATTGTGGTCCCCTGCTTTCTGTGTCCTAGTGGATGGGATGCCATTATTTATGACATTGTTTCAAATATGCACACCCTATCATATGTCATTCAAAAGTAATCACCAAAGGTTAAATTTTTGAAAATTAGGTAAAACTTCAAGGACAAGGGGTAAAAAAATCATAGCATGCTCGGAAACATATTGTTACATGTAATGTACATGTCAAATATGAAAGTCCTTTCTCTTCTCAATCAAAAGTTATAAGGAAATATAACATTTTTGAAAAGTAGGTTAAACTTCAAGGTCAATGATACAGAGTCAAAAGTCATGATATATTTAAAACGGTCTTGTCACAGGTAATATACATGTATAATATGAATGCCCTATCTTTTCTCTTTCAAAATTAACAATTTAAAATAATGTTAAATTTTTTGAAAAGTAGGTCAAACTTCAAGGTCAAGGTCATGGGTTCAAAATCATAGTATGTTTAGAAAGTTCTTGTAGGTAATGTACATGTGAAATATGAAAGCCTTATCTCTTATCATTCAAAAGTTATGACCAAGGTTAAATTTATTGTGACAGACGGACAGACAGACAAGCGGTCAGACTGACAGACAAATGAGATTTAATGTCCCCTAGGCCCCTTTCGTGAAAACGGATGACAATAATGCTTTTGCTGTTCATGAGAAGAAGATTTATGATGGAAAAAATCCCCTGCATTTTTCTATGTGAATCATTGAATCCCCATATGTGGCCCCACCCTACCCCAGTGGGTCATACTTTGAACAAATTTCAATCTACACTAAGTCTATGTAAAGAAAGTTTCTCAACTTTTTGGGCCCAGTCAGTGGTTCTTGATAAGACTTTTTTTAAATGATACCACCAAATTTTCACTAATTCTTGATTATCCCCCCTTGAAAGAGGGTGTGACCCTTCAATTGAACAAACTTGAATCCCCTTTACCCGAAGATGCTTTGTGGCAGGGTTGGTTGAAATTGGCCCAGCGGTTCTAGTGAAGAAGACAAAAATGTGAAAAGTTTACAGGAGGACAGATGGATGACAGACAAAATGTGATCAGAAAACCAGAAAAACTCAAGTGAGCTTAAAACTTATGATCACAAGTACAGGTAACTCTTGATGGCTCGAACTTTGATCTCTCGAAGTTCTTGATCGCTCGAAGTGAGTCTCCGGTCCCGAATTTTTCCACTATATAACTAAGCAAATTTACTCCTGATTTCTCGAACTCTTGATCTCTCGAAACCCTTGATCCCTCGAAGTCAAAATGCAGTCCCACTATGCATATTCTATTAGAATTTACCCTCGATACCTCGAAGTGGCTATCTGTATACAAGATTATATAATTAGCACCTTTACCTGGAC